ATTCCAGGGCCCCAGTCTCCAGGTAGCAGCAGTATAGTGTCCAGATGTTTGAGGTTTGGGACCCCAGGTATAGGAGCAGGCACCTGAATCAAAGCGTCTCTAGGGCCCTAAACTCTAAACCCTAAACCATAAAACCCTAAACACTAAACCCCCAAAATGCTCGTTCTTTTTTGACTTGTCCACCTTCGACGTCATGGGCCCAGGCCTCTAATCTTCGTCAGGATCCAAAGAAAGTTTCCAAAGCAGACCCTTTAAACCCCAAACCTTAAACTGGGTTCCCCCAGCAACGCCCTAATAAGAAGAGTACCCTTTTTCCTACTCTTCAGCTTTAATAAGGAGACCCCCAAGTAAAAAGGGCAAAAGGGTTCTACTGGGGTACCTAGTTAAACCCTAAACCACCACTGCAGCTCCAGAAACGTGGCTTCGCAACGCCGCCTTGCCACTGCTGCCAAGGTCTGAACTGCCGGCGCCAGGGCGGCATCCCCTGCATTTGGGCACGTAGGGTTTATGGATTTCAGAGTTTGGGTATGTATGGTTTAGGAGATTTAGGACAAGAGCTTCGAATTCGTGAGTCGGATAAACGTTGGTTCAGGTTGGAGCAGGGTTTCGGGATTTGGGGATTAGGGTTGAGGGCTTGGGGCTGTACTTGCAGTTGGGGATAGCATCTTGCGGTTGGGGTTTTGGGGTTTGAGATTTCAGGCTGAGGGTTTCTGGAGTTAGGGTTCAGCATCTCAAGGGATCACGGCGTTTAAGGTCTGGTGGAATCAGGGGTTTCTGGTGCGGAGTGCGAGGTTGAGGCATTTCGGGCTCCTGCAGGCTCTGCGATGTTTAGACGGTCTGCAAGCAGTGTGTGCATGTAGTATCACGGAAGGGAACAGTGCTGTCGGTACGGACCGGGTCTATAGCGAGGGACAAGAATAGCATGTAATCAAGATGCACGTAATATGATTCACCGTAAGGACGCCTGAGGAGCAGACTAATGCCAACATGCCTGAAGCTATTTGCTTATCTCCTTACTTGCAGTCCGTAGGAAATAGCGACGATATTATAGAGGGGTATACACGGGATATGTCGGAATTATCTTCCCATATTCCCTACAAACTACCAGTAAGTTGCAGGACTTCAGGCTCAGGTTGGCTTGGTTACAAAGCTCTTGTGAAGGGAATAGTCATAAGGGACTACTCTATATGGGGATTATAGAGGGATTATATTCCCGTACTCCCTACTGATCACCAGGAAGCTGTTGCGCTCGAAGTTCGATGTTGCTTTGGAAGCCGTACCATGCAGGGTTTAGATGAGCGAAGCTCGAAAACCTAAACCCTATAAACGTTAAACTCTAAACCCTAAACCCTAACTCTCAACCTTGGAATCGGCAGTGCCCGCCTTGACCGTTGGCCAGTGAGTTTTGAATGGACTTCAGCACCTGGTCCACATCCTGCCAGAGGAGGAAAACGAGAAAAACAACTCAGCCTTGATGCGATAGGATTGCTGTATCGTGCTGAGTTTGATGCAACAATTGCGTAACCTCACATTCAGGATGTCCTTCCTGCATAACAAGCGGAACTGACCTGAATCTTCTGCAGCAAAATCTCGCCAAAGAGGCAAGAGCTCTGCCATGTCATCTTAGGCTCATGCGCCCAAGCTACTTTTCGCAAGGAACCCAAAAGGGGACCACCTAAAATTGTGTGTGTATGTTCCCAATGCTCGCCATTGCTCCCCTTCATGAATGCCACAAGTCTCTCCATGACCCGCCTGAAAAAGGGTGGATGAATACTAGGTCCCTCAACCCCAAGCCACTGCCTAAACCCTAGAACCAATGAACCCTGGACTCCCAAGCCGTAAACAAATCCCAACCGAACCCCAAACTCCTCTAGGCTCTAGACCGTTCAAGCCTTAAACCCCTATAACTCCTATATCCTCTGTACCCCTATCTAGTCTATAGATAGAGAGAAAGAGAGAGATATATATATGGAGAGAGAGAGGTTCTTTTATATGTATATATATGGTCACGCCCCGGCGGGCCCCCCCCCTCCCCCCCCATGGTATCCCTCCCCTATCCTAAAGGCTCGGCAAGCAAGCTGAGCCCTAAGATGAATGCTAACGCATGAATAAC